CGACACAGGCCACTGGCCTGCTCTTCATTTGAGAACTTTATTCAGTAAGTGCTGCTGAGTATCTTGCAGGCAGGCAGGCAGCTCTTCCCACAGTGATCAGTCGCTCTCCTTCTTATAAAGTGTACCGCTTCCAGTTCTGCAGCTCAAGCCGTTTCTGTCTAGTTCTAACCAAAACCGTGTGAACTCTAATTTTTTTTTTTCTCAGAGACAGGATCTGTCTATTAGATCAGGCTGTCCTCCAGAGATCAGCCTGCTTCTGCCTCCTGAGTGTTCGAATTAAAGGTGTGTGCTACCACCACACCTGGAAAAACTCCAAATTTTTATGTAATTAAAATAAATGAAATAAAACCAATAAAAAGTATCTATTCTAAGCACAATACCATTCTTTAACCTTCAATCTCTTAAGATTTTCCCCAACCCCAAACACTCTAAAAGTAAAAGCTTTCCTTATTACACACACACACACCTTTGGGGAACCCTTTCTGACCCATGACAAGGCAGGCATCTCTCTTCTGCACTGCAAAAGCCCAGCACTGGGAGACAAAGGATGGCTATCTAACTGGAGATTGTCTCAGTCACTCTTGTTTTATAGTCTGGTCCTGGAGACCATGGTGTCATGTCAGTCATGATTACAACCTCTAGCTTCTGGTAGTTTCCTGACATTCAGTAGATATCGTCACCGAAACTTTTGTAGAGTTGTTGGCAACTGACAGGGTCTTTTCCATACATTAGCCAACTGATTCCCACAGCACCCTGAGTCAGGTTCGAAATTACCCCTATTTTGTGAATGAAGAAAACAGGTGAGGTAGTTAACTACTCATCCCGTAAACAGAAGCCAGGGCTGAGACCCTAACTCTTGATTCCAAATGCAGCGTTTCTGTTTTTGTAATCCAGACAACACTCTCTGGGTATGATTATTAAGGAAGCGCAGTGCCCCTCTGGAACATTCTAAGCCTCCCACAGTCACACTTTCTGTCACTGTAGAGCTCCCATCCTTCTTGCTCTGTCTGTCTTATCTTGCAGGGAGGCAGAAAGCTCCCCCTTCCCCTATCTCCTCCTCCATCTGCTGACCACCCCCACCCCCACCCCACTGCTGGCAACTTCAAGTGGGCAGGAGCTCTTCAGTTAGCTCTTAAAAGAACAACACGCATCTCACACAGAACACTAACAGAAAATGTAATTAGTACTTTATCATTTAATATTTTGTGTTTGTTTTGGGGGACAGGGTCTCACTACGCAGCCTTGGCCGGCGCGGAACTGTGTATGTCAGGCTGGCCTTGAACCTAGGGGAAGTCCACTTGCCTCTGCCTTCTGAGTGTTAGGATTCAAGTCTCGCAGGCCACACTCCGCTATTCTTTAATTTTCAATACTCATTATTCTATTTTGCAGCGCTGAGGGTTGAACCTAGGGCCTCAGGCATGACAGGCAAGCGCTCTTACCACTGAGTTATACCTCCAGCCCTCAAATATGATTGAGAACAATTTACATTCACATAGTAGTGTTTTAAAAAAAGCATGTCCTCAGTACCCTCAAGTGACTACCGTGATTCAATTTGTAAGTATTGTTTCGGGACTTCATTAGAAAATTAACTTCACAGCTCATCCTTCTTGAATACACTAGGCTAAGGAACTAATGTATTAGTTATTATGTATTAGTTATTATCATAATGACTACACAGGACAAAATATCAGTATACTTAGAAACCTACCTTAAATACATGAGATGCCAAATGGGAGCAAAGTTCAGGCCAGAGTCCTTGCATGCCCCTCCCCCCACCCCCACCCTCATCCCCCACTGGTAGCCCTCCCATGCCCTAACCTAAAACAAGATGGTCATTAATGCCCCCTCCCTTCTGCTTTCCTTCCTATCATGTTTCCCTGGCTGCTTTGGATGCTGATCAAGAGGAACCCACACCATAACAAAAAGGCACAGGGACATCTTGGCAGTGGTTTTAGAGGCAAGTCTACCCACTCCTTCCCAATGGTAAGCTAGGAAGCTCTCTACACATGAAGGGCTTGTTTTAATGACTTTAGCCTGCACTAATCTGTCAGATGACGGACTGCAGCATTTGCAAAGGATGAGCAGCCCACCAAGGTACACTTCAGGAGGGCTGAACTAGAACAAAAACTTACATGCCTGTTACTAAATTATAGGAACTGGCATCAGCTCAAAGCAAAAACCCTCCCGCTTCCCCTGCCCCTGGCAGTTCTCACCTATCTGAGTTATGAAAAGAGAATCCAAGTGTATGAGCGGAGGCAGGCCAGTGAGGCTCACACAGCAGCAAGATGCTCAGGGGCTGCCTTCCCACTTTTAAAACGAGGAACTGGTTGTTCACAGTGATTACCTCTGGGGGAGTGGGAGTCAGAATAACTTTCCAGATTCATATTTTATGTACTTCAGTATAGGTTGCATTTTTATCATTGAAACGGCATGCCACCCAGCACTCAGGGAACAGAGGCCGGTGAGTCTCTGAGTTCGAGACCAGCTTAGTTTACAGAGCTGAGTTCCAGGACAGCCAGGGATACATAGAGAAAAGAGAAACCCTGTCTCAAAAAAAAAAAAAAAAAAAAAAAAAATTTAAATAAAAAAGAAAAGGCATTCCCACTTTAAGGAAAAATAGACACAAATAAGTTAACTAGGCTCACAGAGAACATATGAATGAATAGCAAAGCATTTTCCCTATTTTATTACCAGAGACACTACCACAAGAAATTATCACAAAAATACTAGAGACCGAAGTGAACTCTGAAGCAGATGTTTCACATATTCACTCCCCAAGGCAAAAGACTGCAGCCTAAATATATATTTTAGCATTTCTATCACAAATGCCTCTCACACACACCCCTTTAGGCAAAGATATATAGTTTGTCCTAGCTAGAGAACTCCCCCCAAAAAGCAACATTTTTCTCCTGGATGTTAGAAAAATAAAAAATGGTGTTGCAAGGCACACTGGACCCTTTGAAAAGGGACCCTGGTTGTACCAGACACAGACAGATGTGGGGAATGAGGAAGCAGAAGGTACGGTACAAACATTTAGCAGCTACCATGAAATCAAAACACAAGGTCGTGAGCAGGCGTGGCAGCGCAAACCTTTAATCGTAGCACTGGAGAGACAGAGGTGGGCACACCTCTAAGAGTTCGAGGCCAGCCTGGTCTAGAGTTCTAGGTCAGCCAGTGCTACATGGTCAGATCCTGTTTCAGAAAACAAACAAACAAACAAACAAACAAAACCCACAAGGTCAAAAACCCGGTGTGGTGTCACAGGCCTGGTATCCCAACACTGGTTGAGAGGTTGGAGCAGGAGGGTAGAAAGCTAAGGCCAGCCCTAGACCAGAAAGCCGGAGTCGAGCTTTTAAAACAAAACAAAACAAAAACCAGCCGGCATGGTGACACTTGCCATTAATTCTAGCACTCAAGAGGCAGAGGCAGGCAGATCTCTGTCTCTGTCTCTGACACACACACACACACACACACACACACACACACACACACACACACACACACACACACACGATCAAGAAGCTGTGCTTCTGCCCTGGTTAAAAACGGGTCTCTTTTTCTGACAGTGATGCACCCACCACCTGCACTGGTTCAAAACAGTAGGCATGATGTTAGAATTTGCAGGAATTTAGTATCATGAAAACTGAGACTCTGGGTGGGGTTTTTCTTAATTTCTATGTTTATGTGGGGGGAGGGGTATGTGCACATGAGTTCCCTGAAACTGGAGTTACAGGCAGTTGTGGGCTGCCTGATATGGGTGCTGGGCGCCAAATTCAGTTCCTCTGCAAGAAAAGCAAGTGCCCTTAACCACCCAGCCTCTGTAGCCCCGACTTTTGATTTTTGAAAAAAAAGGTCTCGCTTTGTAGACCAGGTCCTGATTAGCCTCCACCTCCTGATCCAGCCTCTGGAAGTGCTGGGATTATAGGCCGGCACAACCACACCCTGAAAAACTCGGGTGTCAATGGAGATATGCTGTTGTTAAAGTGGGTTGCTGTAACCAACACTGTACTGGAGAATTTCTACTTAGTTTCTGCTTTAGTTCCATCTATTTCTTTAAGAGGAAGGAACCGCACACAGCTCCTAATGCCACTCAGTATTACTGAGACTTTAGGAGATAACAGCAAGTGATTCAAAGGGGAAGTTTTACGGTTCTGGGCAACCGACCAGCCATCATTCAGGCCTCATACTCCTGCACCTCCACCTTCTCCATTTCTCCAGATCACATCCGCTTGAGGTGACAAAGTTCCAGAGAATCTGTTTTACACTTTTTAAAACCATGATTGCTTTAAAGTTACCATAAGAACTACATGGCTTCCCCAAATCTGCTTCAGGGTGCCTCCAACTTCAGCTGAAGAAATTCATTCTAAGTGGTCTTCGGAACACAAAACCAGGCTTGGTGGCTCATGCCTATCACCCTAGAATTTAGGATTCCTTAAGGCAGGAGAATTAGGTCCAAGCGATCCTGGGCTACCCTGCCAAACCTTGTCTCAGAAAAGAAAGGAAAAAAAAAATGCTTGGAACGCTTTGTGGATTCCAGTGTCAAAGGGGAAAATGTTGCCGCAGCGGTACATACTGTACGGAAATACATTCTGACCAGTGGAGAATCTACGTGTACCTTCACAGCCACACTCGATTCAGGAACACGCTCACACACATACAAACACCCCAGTCCCCGAAAACAAGGACTTTCATTAACCTGTTCCTGACCCGTCCGAGTTGGAAAATGTCTTGTCAACCCCTCCGATCACGTGGACGGGGTGGCTCAGGTGGAAAGGCAGCCTGGGAGCGGCGGCTGAGCTCAGACCCACGCCTGCACGCTTCAGCCGCAAGGACTCTCTCGATCGCCACCCAACTCGCTCACCGCCTCTCCCAGAACTTCTACTTGGAAGCGCCCACCACTGGAGGCAAAAAGCACTTTCTTCTCGGGACTCGGGGGAGTGTGGGGTGGGGAGAAAAACCAATCTGGTACCCAGAAAAATCCCCCAACGCCCGAGACCTACCACTTTTGACCCGAACAAAAAGCGTGTGTGCTGATGAGAGGGGGTGGGAAAGAGCGAAGCAGGAATCCGCGCGGCCCAGCCGCCTCCTCCCTCGGAGCGCGCCCAAGTCTGCGGCCTCCGGCTCCGGGACGCTCCCCTCCCACCGGCCGCCCAGCCGCAGCTGGAAGTTAGCGAAGCGCGCTCCGGGCCCGTCAATCAAGCGCGGCCTCCCGCCTCCACCTCCCCTCCCCCCTCCCCCACCAGAAAATAAAATAAAGGGAAAAAGAAGTAATTTGGGAAGTCGTCCGGAGAGGGGAATCCGTCCGGGACCCGGGGAGGCCGCGCGCACCGGACTGATCGCCGGCACCGAGCAGGCGGCTCAGCAGTCCCCCGCCACCGGCTCCTCG